AGAGAAAAAGGAATAACCTAAGTGTAAAAAGCTTCAAAGACTAGTTTCCAAACAAGGAAAGAAGCTTCTGGAGCTTCCCAGCTTTGGAAGGCTCACCATCTAACCCCACCCCACCCCCTGGAAGCCATTCTCGTGCACTGACAGTGTTCTGTGAGTCCGAACCCTCAGCCCCAAATCACAACAGGAGCAAGTAAGTTGGGAACGCTCATGTTTCCTCTTTCCCGGGAGCAGAAATGACCACTCGGGAACAGCTCGGGTCAGGACAGGCCCAGGTGGAAGGCAGGGCTCCTGCACAGGTGCAGCGGCCTCAGGAAACAGGCCTCCCCCGACACACCCCGTGCCTCACACCTCACTGAGGCCATGTCCCAACTAAAGGAGCACGGCTGATTCCAGGACCCGGCAGGGAGCGCACAGGGAGCCTGGACAAGCGCCGGCAGCACCTGGTAAGGAAGTGTGCAGAACAAGCAAGGGACAGAAAACCCACGATGGCCGGGGCAGGGCACAGGGCACAGGAGCCAACTGAGAGGGCTGCTGCTGGTGGCCAACGCTGGAACAGTCTGAGCAACAAAATAAAGCAGTGTTGGATTCTAACTCAAGGTGTAAAATGACTACTTGTGAGTGCTGATGCACACAAACGACTGAATACGCTAAGAGACGGGAAAGAACAATGATTGCAGATTTCCGGAGATGCAGAGCAACTACCCGTCCTCCAGGGGGCGCTGGCGCAGCAACTTCCTTCCCGAGAGTGACCCTGGGAAGGGGACAGAGGGACTTCCCTGAGGAAAAAGCCTGAGGACTTTGCCCCGGCCAGGTGTCCTGCATCAGCGCCCCCACCATACAGCGCGCAGCCCTGAAACGACGGGATGGGGTCCCCCTCCTCAAAACCAACTCCCCAGCCGATCAGGAGGAAGGCATGGGCAGGTCCAACAGAGGGGCGACCCTACAAAATACCCCGACCCTACAAAATACTAGACCCAGGGCTCCTCAGAACGTCGTCAAAGACAAGGAGAGTGCGAGAAAGTGTCGCGGATGTCAGGAAATGCCGCAGCGGGTGGTGCCGGCGGGTGGTGCCGTGTGGACCCCCGACATTTGAGAGGTCCCAGGGGACACTACCGACAATGTTATGCTAATAGGTTCCAGCATCTAGACGAAAGGAAAAATCCCTTGAGAGACACAAATTCAACACCACCAACTCAAGGAATTCTACGTTCACTAAACCAACTAGGCCCAGATGGCCTCACTGGCAAATTCTATCAAATATTTAAGGCAGAAACAAAACCAATCCTATAGAAATACTCAGACAATAAAAGGCAACTTTTCAGCTCGTTTTTTGAGGCCAGCATTCTCCTGATAACAAAACAGATAAGGACACACCAAACGGAAAACTACGGAGTGATCTGCCCCATGAACACAGACGCAAAAACTCCTAACTATTAGCAAATCACCCCAATAGTATATGAAAGGGTAACACACTATGATCACATCAGGTCTAATTGTAACAGAAACGCAAGGTCGGTTCAGCATTCAAAGTCAGTGTAGTTCATTGTAACAACAGGATCAAGAAGGAAAACCGTACAATCATCCCAGGCAGATGTGTAAAAACGTGAAAATTCGATGCCTGTTCGTGACAAAAAAACTCTCACGAAACAAGGAATAGAAGGGAACTCCTTCAACCTAATGAAAAGCACTTATGAAAATTTGACAGCTAACATCATACTTAACGGTGAGAGTCCAGATGCTTTCACTCAAAGATTAGGAATCTGGCAAAAATACGAAGAAAAATCACTGAAATGGAGATCACAGCCAGTGCAGTAAAGTAAGAAAAGGAATAAAACTTTGATAGGAAGAAGTAAAACTTTCTTTCAAAGACAACATAACTATGTACACTAAAAAATTCCTACATGAAAGCTACTAAAACAAGTGAATTCAGGAAATGATGCAGGATGAAGGTCAGTGTAGAAAGACCGATTGTACTTCTACAAGCTACGAGTGACAACAGGAAATTGAAATTTAAAACATAATACCATTTATGATAGCATCTGTAAGTACACGGAGATAAATTTAACAAAATGTGCAGAGGAGCTGTACACTGAAAACTATGCAACAGTGCTAAGAGAAGTTAAAGACCTGGGTGAATGGAGAGACATACCATGTTCATGAATCAGAACACCCAGTACTGTCGAGACAGCGATTCCTCCTAAGTCAACCTACAGATTCTACACAACCCCAATCAATGAGTTATTCGGTTATTCTAAAACTAGAGAAGCATTCCAAATTATTAGAATGTACGTGACCTATTAAAACATTTAAATATATGTTTATTATTAGCTTTGGTTAGTAGACTGTGTCTCTGAATCAGATTATGTTAACAGCTGCCCATGTTGCAGGTGTTTCCACTGTTTTCTTTGGTTAACACTCAGCCCTGGGCATCACAGTTAGGTCACAAAGAGTGTGCCGCTGTTGAAGACGGCGTCGGCAAGTCAGGAAGAGAAATCACACGCATACAAAATTAAATGGAAGCTACCAAAGTTCAAAATGAGATAACAAAAGTTAAGGCAGCCCATCTTGCCTCTGCAGCATAACACGGGCACCTCTGCAGCCACCTAACATCTTCAAAGTCAAAACCTCACGTCACTACACCCAAAATTACACTCGAGCAGCGTCCACAGGTATGGCACACCTGCAAGAAGAAACAAAGCACCCACCTAAAAGTCCATTTTTCTTGTCCCCAAGGGGACGGCTGCTGTTGGAGGAGACCCGTCCAAGGAACCTCACAAATATTTTAATCACGATGACTTAACTGCGGCTTCAAAGAAGAAAGGATTCCTTCTTTCTTTTCTTTTCCCTTGAATTTATTTAAAGAATGTCATTCAGGTGTAGAATCTGAAAATCTAGATCCAAAATACCAAATGAGGTTGGCAGTCCTCCACTGCTTTCCGTGTTCCAGGGAGTAAGGAGAATAAATAAACAGCTCTCAGCACTGATAGCACAGACTCCGAGGAGGACACCGCAAAGAGACGAGAAAAAAAAGCAAACAGTACACTCGTGAAGACCAGACAGGAAACAAAAAGCAACAAGGACACCTCCTCGGGTGTCACTGGGACGCAACGACCCGACCTGCGCCAGGGCGCCTCTGCTCGGGGCGGCGTGACCAGTGTCGCTGTCCACCGCCATTTTCCGACCAAGCTCATTCAAAATGGCTCAAAAGAAAAGCAGCAAAAGCAAGCACGAACTCAGCACGCCCACTTCCTGCAGCAAAACCCAGCACGCGGTGTGCTTTACCCGACAGGCTTCTGCACCAAGACAGAAGACACAGTGACCAATGGCTAGGCTGAGGACAAGACACCTTCACGCGACTCGTGCGAAGAGAACAAGCCCTCCCCTCCCACGCCCCACCGTCCGAGGAACACGGATCTCCGAGTCCCTCGAGCCACCTCCTCCATCGGCCACCAGCAGGGCGGGCCCTCCCCACCTCCAGAACGGCGGCGCCGCCAGGCCAACCCTGTGCCAAGTGACCGCGGCTCGACTGTCCTGGCTGGGGACACTGGCTCATTCCCACGGACACAGTCGCTGGGGGCGGAATGAGGTTTGTCCGTGCTACTGACTTGGCTAATGACATTCCAGGGAACCCCTGTTGCTCAAGGGGTCGTCCATCTTGGCTACAATGGCTTCGCCGTCATTTTGATTATTCTGTATCTGGGACACGCTACGGAACAAAAGAATCAAAAGAAAAACTTAAAACACGGCATCATTGAAGAGCATTTAGTAAATTCAATACAGTCACCAGGACCTGCCGCTAGGGAGGGATGTGGCCCAGCGAACCGCTTAGTTTGTGCCAGTAAGCACACCCTGGGACGGGGACTGTCAGGGCTTAACTTTCCTAAGCTGCCGTTTCGCTCTGCACAACCCGGGCGCATAGAGGAGCCGGCGCTAACTAATTACAATACACTGACCGGAGTAGATGGAGACATCAGAGAGTTGTCACCTTCGGTTAGGCCCTAGGCAGCGCACTCGCGGTGAAAACCAGCTGACACGTTGCCCATCCCAGCTACCCCCAGCTGACAGACCTGCCACCCTCAGAACGTCGTGCTTGAGGTCCGCCCAGCTACTCGGAAGGGGGTGGTCCCTTTCACAAAGCTTTTTCCCCCACTTAGAAGAAAAAAGAGCTCTGACCCAACCCTGCCTGAATCACCGTCACCCAGGACGAGACCGAGACCGACAAGGGTTCCATCCTGACAGCACGGCATACCTCACGGCTGCGACAACCCTGGCAAACTTGAGGGTTTTACAGCCCTTTGCTTTTGACAAAACGTGACAGAATCTAGTTGAAATTTAGCTTAGCTCTAAATAATTTTTGAGATAACCACGAATTTTTGGCACATAACGGAGGAACAAAGGCTTCCTTCCTCTGTCACATATTTATGATTGTACAGAGTTTCAATGTTTAGAATAAAAACTCAAAACCAGTAAAGAACCAGTGCTAATCCGCCTCATACTAACAAATCGTAACCCTGGATTCAGGAATTAGGTAAAAAACCCCATTCTCAAACGCATTGACGGCCAGGACCGGTAGCTCATGCTTATCATCCCAGCACTGTTGGAGGCTGAGGCAGGAGGATCGCTAAGCCCGGGATTGAGGCTGCAATGATTGTGGTCCAGCCTGGCGAAGAGCGACCCTAGGTCATATTAGACTTTAATTTTTGTAATATCTCGAACGAAAAAATCAACAAAGCAAGCTAAGGAGAATCTGAGTAATTTTTTCTGCTTTCTACCGTTAGAAACGATTAGCAGATTTAAAACCCACAGGTATTGTCCCCAAGTCCATGTCTCCCGTGGACTCTTACGTTATCTCTGTGTGACACACAGGACCCTGGCATGCACACCCGAGAAACCGTGCCATCGGACGGAGAGAAACCGCTGACCCCATCCTCAGGTCAGCAGGAGGTAATGGGCAGCAAAGCACATGACCACACACCTGAGGCACAGCCCGACAAGCCCACCTTCCTTTCCGCCTTGCTGCCCCGGGGCCCGCGTCACGTGCATTTCCAGCCTCATGACACACGCCTGTGCTGGTGATCAGAAAGACACAGAGGGACCAGCTGTCCACCCATCAAGTGGATTATTTATTTTATTATTTATTTTGAGACATAGTCTCACTTCTGTCACTGGGCTAGAGGCCGTATTGTCACCTAGCTCACAGCAAATCTGACTCTGCTCAACAGTGATCCTCCCTGCCTCAAGCCGTTTCCAACCACAGGCATGCGCCACCATCTCTAATTATAGCATTATAGTAGATATACTATTGTGAATACTAATATTATTAGCCAATTATTCTTATTAAGTATAGATAGGTCTCGCTCTTCTTGCTCAGGCTGGTCTTAAACTCCTGACCTTGACAATCCACCTGCCTCGGCCCTCCAGAGTCTAGATTACAGGCATGAACCAACACCCCAGCCATGCCATGCTTTAACACCAGGATGGGCCTGTTCATCTCCCTTTCCCAACCAAGGACTCGAGCTTAGTTGGCAGAGCCAAGTGACAAAAGGCCCCCGGGCATCAGAGACCGAATCGCCCACTCTGCACTCGCGGGCAGACCACCCGGACCATAGCTCATGTCCACCGATCAGCCCCGCGACAGGAGTTTCAGATGATCAAACATTACTAAAAGTTTCTTATGTTAATTTCTGTCGCTTCAGTTTAAAGATTAAAAAGCGTGAAGAAGCAAAGTCAAAAGATATTTTAGGATAATAATTACATTAAAAATTCTTCCAAATTTGTCCCTAATTGAGATAACAAAAATACAATGTAAATCAACCTCCCAAAAACCATCACACCAGAGAAAAAAATAACCCTAAGTGAAAAGCTTCAAAGACTATTTCCACAAGGAAGAACTTCTAGCTTCCCAGCTGTTGAAGGCTCACCCATCAAGTAACCCCTACCCCACCCCCTGGAAAGCCATTCTCGTGCACTGACATGTTCTGTTGAGTCCGAACCCCTCAGCCCCAAATCACAAAGGACAAGAAGTTGGAACTCATGTCCTTTTCCCCGGGAGCAGAAATGACCACTCGGGAACACTCGGGTCAGGACAGGCCAGGGACAGGCAGGCTCCTGCACAGGTTCAGGGCCTCCGGAAAGCAGGCCTCCCCGAACACGTGCCTCACACCTCCACTGAGGCCATGTCCCAACTAAAGGAGCACGCTATTCCAGGACCCGCAGGGAGCGCACAGGGAGCCGACAAAGTCCGGCAGCACCTGGTAAGAAGTGTGCAGAACCAACGCAAGGACCAGAAAACCCACGACGCCGGGCAGGCACAGAGTTGAGGGTGATGAGGGTCACGTTGCTGCCGATGCTCTGGCTCCCGGACTGCCCGCAGTTGGAGACCGAGTCGCTGGCCTCCGAGCCGCTCTCCCCGTCCTCGTGGTGGCTGTCGTCCTGGCCCGGCACCTTCACCACGATGGTGTTCTGCCGCCGCCCGGGAACAGCGCTGGACGGGAGAGAAACACACCGGCCCCATGTCGTGAGCGCGACACAGTGGGCGGGTGGGCGGGGGGGCCCCTCGGGGACTCGCCTCTCTCCCTGACCCACCGCAGACTCCGGCCAGCCCGGGCCCGCGAACTACAGCCTTCCCCGTGGCTCTCCCCACGGAGAGCCTCAGCCACTTAACGGCAGAAAACGGTGTGGGGGCAGGGGCGGGGGGGAACAGACTGCGTCAAATAAAACCTAAACACCTAAAGGAAACATTTCCATCATAAAGGGGGTGAAATCGTGGCTCGCTGTGACCCAGGCCCAGCGCGCTGCACTGACGGCAGAGGTCGCCCTACCACGGCTGACACCTGCGAGAGCCACTGTGAAGGCCGTGCCCAAGGCAAGACTGACCGGACCGAGTGCCCCGGACCAGGTCAGTCCGGTCCACGCTCTCGGGGCTCCCTACCGCTGGCTCCGCCTCCAGAAACGCAGCCGCCACTCCCAAGCACTCGCAGGGACAAAAAGCACTCAAGTGGCCTTCAAAAGACAGCCAAGGTCCCCTGGGAGCTGCCCTGGTCACGGCGGCCCCTGACGAGAACAACAAAGTGCGGCCAGCACACAGGACGCCAGGGTCAGCCCCGGAGAGTGCTGGAGAAACACACCTGGAGACCTGAGACCTGCCTCTTCCACGGCCCTGACAACACCCCCTGACGCGGGCCGCCACACACGAGGCAGGGGAAACAGGCATGACTCCTCTTGGTGCAAAGTCAACAACGGGTGTTGGCAGCACTGGCCACGCCCACAGGAGGGAGCCGCCCTTGGCGCTACGGGGACTCAGCTCCATGGAGGACTGTCTGGCCCGCGCGTGCCCCTCGCCACTCAACCCGCCGCCACCGGGCTCGGCGTGGGCCACAGGAGAGGCCGGACAGACAGGCCCTGCGCCTTCGCACGCCCGCCTGCCACCTTCCCCCGCGGGCAGGCCCTGCGCCCACCACTGCCGGCCTGGGAACCTGAGCCGAGACGACAGAGAAGCAGCACAGAGCCGGCTTTTGTCTTTCGCACGTGCGTGAAGGTGTCTGTCCCTCAGCCTAGCCCATTGGTCACTCGTGTCTGTCTGTCTGTGCAGAAGCATGTCGGGTAAACGCACGCCCCGTCTGCGTTTGCTGCAGGAAGTGGGCGTGCTGAGTTCGTGGCTTTTTTGCTGCTTTTCTTTTGAGACACTTTGAATGGCCCTTGGTCGAAATGGCGTGACAGCAGCAGGGTCACCGCCCCGAGAGCAGGCGGCCCCTGCCCGGCGGTCGGGGTCTGCCGTCCCAGTGACACACCCCGAGCGGGTGTCCTTGTTGCTTTTTGTTTCCTGTCTGTGTCTTCACGAAGTTCTGTTTTGCTTTTTTTTCTCCGTCTCTTCTGCGGGGTTGTCCCTCCTCCC